AAAATGGTTTGGCCGCGGTTCTACCGCGACCGCGGCAGAACCGCGGTGGAACGCAGTTTCAGAACTTTAGAGATTCAGAGAGGGTGATTGGCCGCGGTTCTACCGCGACCGCGGCAGAACCGCGGCAGGCGCAGAAAAGTTCAGGGGTCAAAGTGTCAAATACGGGATTTTTTAGACCTAAACCCTATTTAAAACATTAGACTTCGCCCAAGAGAATGAGTATTGATTTTTAGGGTTTCTTAGCAAGGAAAACCATTGTGAGAGAATACTCAAAACATCTTTCTTCTTTACTTTTGATTTTTATGATGAATTTTATCTTAGTTTATTTTCCCATAGCCATGAGTAGCTAAATTCCTTGTCTAAGGTTTTGATGGAACCTATTGGGTGATGAATTTCTTGTTTATGTGAATACAAATTGCTAGTTTAATCTCTATTTGTTCAACTTCGTATTTGTTGTAGTTAATTGACAGGATCCTCAATTAGCTGTGCCTATTTAGTGTGCATAACTTGGAAAAGAGTGCATATTTAGGGTATTGTTGAACAACACCACTCCTAGATTATTAGATGAATCTATAATTTCGGGTTTAAAGGCGGGATTAGGGATAACGAAGCCTTGGGTGTAATCTAAAGTCAATCGTGCTAAATAAAGTAAGCTAGTGTATCTCGGGAGAGTGCAATAGTAAATTACTGTGATTACTCGGGAGAGATTTACGGTAAGATTAGCGTTCATGATTGATAGAGATGTGTTGGTAAATTTGTATGAGCATAAACAGAAGGGATTCCATCAATAGGGGAAATCATTGCCTTAGCTTTTTATCATAATTGTTTACAACCTTATTAGTTTAGTTTACAGTCATTTAGTTACTTGCAAGCGTAGTTGTTAAAGAACATTCAACTGAAATTTGAATATTTGGGAAGCTGGTTCTGAAGAATTAGTGGGTCTGCAGATAGTGGTTGATAGGTTAACTCTCTGTGGATTCGACCCTGGGCGTAATACTCGGGGTTATATTTGCAACGTCCGCAGAGTCATTTTTATAAGGCATAGTTGGGCGTGATCACGCGCCATGAGAGTAACACATCAGATTGGAGTCATGATGCACCATGATTATAAAATTTGGGACTTGAGTCCCAACTCATTATGGCCTAACATGTTTTTATATGGGTAAGACATTGTTTTTGAGTGCCAATGCACCATATTGATGATATAATGATGACTAATGAAAAATAATGTATTTTTCATGAAAAAGCATGAAGCTTGTCCCACTTGATTTGCTCCATTCTTGAAGTGAATGTGATAGCGGTGCATAATAAATCTAAATGAAGACAAGTGGTTGACTAATGAACGTGGACGTGCCAAAGACCAAAATAATAATAGTCATCATTATGATAATTATAAAAAGGAGAACAATAAGGGTTCTCAAAATAATGCTTCAAAGGTGAAGGAAATGTGTATCAATATGTTGTGTAAATATAAGGTACGTTCAGACGATTATAGTCCATTTTTTGAAAGAATACGACTTGTGATAAGCATTGTAAATGCAGACTCATTCTTGAAGTGAGTGGAAATATATATATGTGATTCAAATAATGCATAAGAAATGCTTATGCAAGATTGGCTGAATACCACAACTCACCTCTAAGGAAGGTTTGAGAGAAATAAAGATAATGAATATGTCATTGGTCGCGTACATGTGGTACGCCAAAAAATATTGGGACATGCCTTATAAAAGGTTATTAAAGGCAAAAGTAAAGCAAGAAATGATTTTGCTTATGATGATTTTGACCATGACAATTATTATGATATGATTTTCTCCGTGAAGGAGACATTCACCATATGAATGGTGTGACAAAAGATCTTGTAGTACAAAATCAATTAAGAGCTCCGGAAGAGTTAATTTGTTACTACCCGGATGAGTGAAATTGTTCATGACATTGATATTGTAGTAAGTCTCAAAAGAAACATTTTGAGTTTCAAATGTATTAGCCAAAGTGGTTGGCATATTGAGACTATAAATGAAATGAAGATTGATTATCTTCATATTACTATAACATACCAGGTAAATATAAAAGGTTACCCGACTTTTCTTCTATTTGTACTACAGATGTATAAGCATGATATGAAATCACATGCCATAGTAAATTAAATGTTTACTGAAATAAATATTAGTTGGCATGACCGGTTGGCCATCCCGATTTATTGATGCGAAAATTAATTGAGAATTCACATTGGCATATATTGAAGAAATAGAAGATTCTTCAAGAATTCTCTTGTGCTGCTTATTCTCATGATATACCAGTTAAGGTTGGGATTGAATCCCTTAAGATCTGGAACAAATAAAAGGTGATATATATATATGGGCTCAATCGCTTTCCATGTGAACCGTTTACTATTATATTATTTTAATAGATGCATCTATTGTATGGTCACGTGTGCGTTTGTTATCAACTTGCACTTTGGTTTTTGCAAGGTTGTTTGCTCAAGTTATTAGAGCACAGTTCCAGAATATATATTATGATAATTTATCTTGATAATGCTGGTTTAAATCAAGTTGGTTTAGCAGAAATTGTATGCCTCCAATTATAGCTAAACCATTGGTTATTAGAACAAAACTCCCAAATAGAAATTTGGTATGAGGTGTATTATTTAATATACAACAACACTTGTACGCATCTAGCCAAGTTATGATAAATTCTCCTCGTCACAATTGGTTCAGGGTCAGGAACCAAATAATTTCCATCTTGAAATATAGATGTGCTATATGATTTAATTGTGACACCACAATGTACAAAGATGGGTTCCCAAATAAGGTTGAGAAATGTGTTGGTGATCCTAACATTAGGGGGAGAAAATGGGCAGCTGAAACAGTGATACGTGGAATGAATTATTATGAATACATCTAGATCCTCGTACAAGAAAATGTGAACTTGAAGTTCAAGTGATAATTCATTTCTAAAATATTTCCAGGCACATTGCTGACCCAAAGCTAAATGTCATATTCCAGCTGCTAATGCTCCAAATAGAATAACGTCCATGATGGATAGAGTTTATGGCACGCATGAAGCGTAATAGACAAATCGGTTCCAAAGATAAAACTCCTTGAAGAAGGAGGGAGCAAATGTTCAAGATGGTCATAATAAGGAGGCAAGTGCTTTATAAGAGCACCATGACATAACATTTTATAAGACCTCATGGGAGAGGCTCAGGTACCTGAAAATAATGAGATCTCAATAAGTTATGTCTTTATTGTGCGATGATGGAACCGATGTAAAATGATCGTCGACGATGTTGTTAATATAATGTAGCGCTCAATATTATTAATATTGACGAGGATCTTGAGCTCAAATCTGTCATGGAATTTGGACAGATAAATGATTGGCCAAATGAAAAATATGCAATGAAATTGACTTCACCTGAAAAATGTGAAGTTGGACGGATAATCCCCACACCTGAAAGTGAAATGAAAAATCAAGTCGATAGACATAAAGACGACTTGTGGCACAAAATTTTTGTAAATATCCTGGTATTAGGAGACATGTTCTCCTGTGGGGGGTCTGACAATACATTTGATATGCATATAATGAAAATCCTTGAATGATTTAAATTGTTCTGAAGCATATTAAGGTTCCCAAGAAATTTATTAAATAAATCTTCGGCAGATCCTTATGTAGCTTAGAGCGATCATGGCGTACATGATTTATTTTTGTGTCTAGTGCAATTGGTGCACTAATATATCTGGCTAGAACCATGAGTATAACAATATGCTAGCAAGATATAGTTTTATTTCAATGTGGAGAAATTGGAATACAATTAGTATTATATTTTAAAAGGAATACTTGATTTAGATTTGTTTATTCTAACAAATATCGCCAAGATTTTGTTGGTTATGCAAATGCAGGCATTTTCTGAAGTTCGTTCTTCAAACATTCTATTTGCATGTGAGAGTACTGTCATATTATCATATTACAAGGCAGTTAATTATTGATACTTATTCAAGTCATGCCAAGATAAGCAACTGATAAAGCAAGGGGATCAACACACAACAGACGTGTGACTTGACTTTGAAGAGAAGATTCCAATAATACTGAAGATAATGTTGTTTGCTTATATCAATTGAAAGAAGGACTATCGAAGGAGACAAAATAAAGCACATTCACCAAAGTTCTTCAACAAATTTGTTCAAGTGATAATTTGACAAACATCTTCACAAGACATTGCGGATCTCAATATTAGAGAAGTTGTTATACAAGCTTGGAATTCGTCGTCTTTGAAGAATAAAGTGATGTTTTCATCAGGGGGAGGCAAATACGCGCTGTACTTTTTTTTTTCTTAGCTAAGATTTTATCCCACTGAGTTTTTCTGGCAAGGCTTTTAATGAGGCAGCAAATAATGCGTATTACAAGATATGTGTACTCTTTTTCCTTCACTAAGATTTTTTCCTACATGGTTTTTTCTTAGTAATGTTTTAACGAGGCACATTATCTATAGACATCCAAGGGGGAGTGTTATGAAATATTATTTTGTAGTGGATGTCCATAACTCCTAAAGAAGTTACTCCCACTACTGTTCTCCATTATGTAGATAACTCCCACTACTTCTCACCATTATAGTTGTAACTCCCACACCTCCATAACCTCCCCATGATCTTCCTCCATGATCTCAAATGTTTAATGTCATGTTTATGGCATTCTTTTGTATGCCTCTATGTAATCTTATAAATAGAGGGTTTTGGCATCACATTGTATACACTTGAATATATGAAAGAATCAAGAATCTCTCCTCCCTTGCTCCCTACATTCTTGTCTATTTGCTTGTTTCATATTATTACTTTGAGCTAAGTTTCTTAACAAAACCCAGTGAAATTCTACAAGTGGGGCCTGAAGAGGGTACTGTGTACACAGACTTACCCCTACCCTAAGAAGGTAGAGAGCATGTTTCCGATAGACCCTCGGCTCAAGAATCGATGTATCTTAACTATTCATGGAAATTTTAAAAATATTCCAAGGAGACATCAACCTCATATATTTAATTGAATGAGAGCAAAAGACCCTCTAAAAGTCTTTATTCAAACCTTGAAAAATGACAGGCTTATCTTCCCTCCACCTTGTTGACAACTACTGATTGAGAGAAAGAATTAAAGAACCTTGAAAATAAATCAAGAATCTCAAATGACTACTCACCTAAATCTTCTGAAAGTAACTCCATTATTGTTTTTCTAAGATCAAGAAACATTATCTATCAATGGCTATGAACACCAGAAAACTACTACAAACTACAAACCAATCAACAGATTGTTTGTATTTTTGTGATTCAACATGTCCTTATGGTTGTAATCCATATGTAGACTTGGATTATTACACACCACCACCACCACCTCCGCTACAATTAAGTAGCAAACATCATCAGAATATATCACCTTATGTTATCATCTCTGTTGCCTTATTTGCTAGCTTGTTTCTTCTTTTTAGCTACTATTTGATCATTGTGAAGAACTGCTTGAATTGGAACAGGAGAAGAAGTGCTTCAGCACAAGGCTTTGATGAAGAATTTTTCGACGAAAATCGAGCTCCGGTAATTGATCATCCCATTTGGTACATCAACACTGTGGGTCTTCAGCCATGTGTTATTGATAAGATTAGTATTTTCAAGTTCAAAAAAGGGAACGGTATGATTGAAGGATCAAACTGCTCTGTTTGCTTGAATGAATTCCAAGATGATGAGAGTCTTAGATTACTCCCAAATTGTAAACATGCATTTCACATCCATTGTATTGACACATGGCTTAGATCACATACAAATTGTCCCTTGTGTCGTGCTGCTATCGAACCGAGTTTAGGTACCAATGAAGAAAGGATGCTGGAAATTGATGAACAGAGAGATGATATTGGAGAAGTGACTAGTAACAATGAGGCCACAGATGGCGAGATTTACGAAAATGAGACAGCGGCTGCTGGTGAGGTTTTGCAGATAAGAAGTTCAAGAAAAGAAGTTAATAGGAAATGGGATAGTGTACAAGCAATGAGGAGGTCTGTTTCAGTAGATTCTTCAATTATAGGACTTGATATGGCTATGTTATCAAGAATTAGTACACATGAAATGGGTTATGTTGAAGCTGTTGCTGAAAATTCAAGTTCAATGGCGTTGTCACTACATAAAGAGCCTTTTATGATTAAGAGATCATTTTCATATGGTGGTAGGTCTTTCTTCTCAAGACATCATCGTAGCTCCAGTTCATACAACACTAGCTAGGATAATGTGGAAGTTGAAGGAACAATGTTCTTTTCTTAATGGGATTTAAGATCCTAAACTGTGAATAACATCAGCTTTACCAATTGGTTTGCACTCATTGTAACAAATTTTTATTCGCTAGTTAATTCCGGAAAACCTCCCAAGATTGTGTGCAGTATTTAATACCACAATAATTATTATCTGGAAGGACATGAATAAGGACTTTGCTGATCAAGAAGAGGTAAATTCGATTTGCATAATGAAATTTGGTTAACATTCTGCAGTATTTTACGTTCTAATCTCCAAAGTTGATGGTCAGAGGAAACATTGGACTTTGAGATAATTCTTCAGGGAATGGTTGCTTAACACTTTGATTACAAGACTCGTCCAGTGATGCTTTCCTTGGAATCGAAGAAACGAAGACTCATTCATTACGAACCAATACAATTTTTGTAGAATCAAATTGAAAGCGAAAACAAATGGTTGATACCAATTTAAGATACCATGCAACCAGCAACACAGGAGACTTTAAACTAACTACTAACCCTCAGTTCCCCTTTCTCCGGAGAACTATGCTACAATACTTTTTAACTAGACAAATGAGTAAAAGAATGTTAGTGGACTAAAATTAGAAATTACAAGAACAGATCTCCTAACATCGAGTCTCAGGTCACCAGAGAAAAGAAATTAACCCCATCAATATGCCCAGCATCACTTTCATGACCATGTAGCCAATAAACATCCAAAACGGGTGTTTATGGGTTTGTGTAAACCCTGCAGCAACATTTGCTGATGATAATATTCCCTAATGGCATCCATCCAGGGTAAGGACAAACATAGAATCTAAGTTGAGAAAATTTAGGCCACAGATACAAACTTCTTTTGACAAGAATGCCACAGCCTCTTTTCCACATCCCAACTGCCAGTATCTCCTGGACGGTATGCTCTCAGTAGTCTTCTTTCATACTATCTGGTTTTCTCTTTGCTTGCATTGCAAGACGAGCATCTCTCTCCCGCTCAAATTCTCGATAATCAGCACGCTCTAAGAAAGATACCCTGTCTAGATACTGATTGGAACTCTTCTTGTAAGCATCCAGCTCATCTTCCATGCCTTTATTTTCTTCCTTGAACCCCTCCCAGTCTTTCTTTGTCTTATCAAGTACACTGAGTTTCTGCTTCTTTTTTATTTGTTCAAGGATAATATCAACAGGAGAAGCAGATGCTACAGGGCCTTTGCCTTTATCAGATGCTTCTGCAGAGTTGGCATCGATATACTTTTTTACTTCAACTTCTTCGCCAGCAAAATCCCGTACTTCAGTGATCTGTAAAATTAGACTAGGTATAAAGAATGTGCAAGGAAAAAGCAGCAACAACAAATCTGAGAAGCATATGCACATCTTAAGAGTGATAAATATTAATCTAAGGTTCTCCATCAAGAGGTTCAGACGACGAACTGCTCGCAACCATTCTCAAAAATTTCCTCAACCCTTTCCTTCTCTTCTGGTGCCTGGTGTTGTATTGATGATAACTATCAAACTTATTTTAAAGAATAAACAAACAAAAGTGACAACTGTTTCTTTCTTTCAATTTTTCTTTGGGGTTGGGGAGTGGGATAAGTTACTTAAATAACAACGGTATCAAGCATTCTTGCTCTTTGAGAAAAGAAAAGCGGTCCGTAAGCAAGTTTTGCATTCTCCACAGGTTATGTCACGTAGAAAGAAAGTAAATCCGTATCCATGTACAGCCAAAAAAAGCTCTAGCACCTGGCGCTCTAAGAGTGTATCACCACATATGGAACCAAGTCTTCAGCTACAAAAATGAAAAGCTAGTAGTGCGCAAAAATATCATGCGCAAGCAAGCTAGACCTACCACTTTACCCCGGCCTGAAGAGGCAGCAGCAGTGGCGGCCTCCTTCACTGCAGAGAGAGCAGCAGCAGCAATCTTCTTTGCCTCCTCGCTAGTTTCATTTTGAGTAGGCCTAGGACACTTCTCAGGCGTGCTTCTTTCAGGCTCTGATGTCTGCTTTTGGGACAATCCCAGTACTGTCATCCAATTCTGCTGAGATTGTTACACCACAAGTCCAAATAAAAACATTGGCATATCTCATACGATTATAAAGTAGAGGTCTTATACTCACAGAAGATGACGATTTTGATGATTTCTTTGAGGAATTTCTATTTGATGCTGAAGTAGGCTTGTTTATTATGGAGTACAGGGTCCTCATAGACACTCCTTTATTCATTTGCTGCCAAACAGCATCCACCCGAGCTTTTCTTTCTGAAAATAAAAGCATAATGGTGAAAACATTGTTCTTGTGATGCTGGTCTCTTGGCTAAACCATAATGAAAATAATTGGGGGATAATATCATGAATGACAGGAGCATCGACGTCTCCTACCGATTTCTTCGGGCTGCATTTGCATGTTAGGAACACATGCAGCATCTTGTTTGGACATGGTTTGGAACCCATCAACATTCTCTAAATTATCTGAGTCATGAAGCAAAGACATTTTCTCCAGATGTCAGCAGAACAGAACGAGAGAGCTCAACCTAGGGCATAATCAGTGACTTAAATATCTAATAATTGCATTATAATTATAATTATAATTAGAAGCAACATTCAAATAAAACCTAATGCAGAATCAGCCAGAAAAGAGTTGGAGAACAGACAGAAAGGTGCTAGGAGAGTGGGGAACAAGGTAGAAACTTCATTTAAGTGTTAAGGGGGATAGATGCATAATTACATATGCAGGAGACTTTTCCATTAACGTCCTCCTTTTTTACAATTTCTCATTTCACTTTGTGGAAAAAGGACAAGGTTAAAGTTGTCATTCCAGGAGAGAAGGAGACTTCACAGGATGGCATATGGTCTTCCTTGCCCACACCAAGGATTGGAGGTGAATCAAAACAACCAAAGCGAATTTCACGCACAAGCTTATACACGCATGTGGATAAGCACACAAACATACTAATAAGAAAAAGGTTATTGCTTTATATATACATGTATAGGTATCATTTCTAATAATATTACTGCATGTTCATCTAGAATTTTCCATGTAAAACTAATTCTTGTGGTAATGAACAGAAAAAAAGTGGTTATTTTAGAGAATAAAGGAGCTAAAACAATCAATTTAGTTAAAGTAGACTAACACTAAACCATGTGAATCTGCTTATTCATAATTTCCTCTTCCCCATTGCAGTTCTTTTTTATGTTTTGTCTGATATTAATTAGTTGCACAGCACCTCTGCGGAATGCCTGTTGATTAATCACCAAGAATGGTGGATGCAGTTATCTCAATAACTTGTTCGTTCTATTACAAGATTATGAAACCATGACACAAGATTTAAACAGGACAAACTGAAATGTCATTTCTCACTATTTACTGTTAAAATCCTTTCTGGCCCGTTTTTTTAATTCCTTAATGAGACGTACAGACTGGTGTTCTCTGGTATTGACAGTTTAAGGAATGAGAAGCTTATTTTGCCCATATCAAAGTTGAGTCTACCATAGCGCCACAGTCAGTTCCCCCTGGGAAACTTGAAAAACAAGTGGCATGCTCTATTGACAATTTTGTCGATGAAGGCAAAGACTAGGTGTTAATCCTGTACTAGGTGATAAAACTTCCTCAAAAAGTAAGACAAAATCCTTATGATTTATGGGCAAAATCCATTACAGCCCTATGAATGTAACTTGGGTAAGAGGGCAGTATTACAGCAATGAGGAAGTATGGATTATGGTTATCATGACACGAAATAGTGATAGCTGTTCTTGGTTAACAACACATGCTTATCCTATTCATGGAACATTCAACCTACATTAAGAGGGCTAGACCAGCTTGTCTTCTACTGTAATTCTTTCTTTCTTTCTTTCTTAAGTGTACTGTAATAGTACTCATTTCAAGTTTAGTTTTCCTTTTTGCTTCAACAAGACAGATGACCACTTAGATTTTATAAATTTCTTATTTCTTTAGTTTGCTTTAAGAAGATATGATGATCACACGGACTAGCTGCTACATACTGCATTACTTACAGCAGATAGTAATGTTAACCTGCTCCTCTGATTAAGATTCGACCAAAAAGAACGGGTTTTCACAACAGTAGGAAACAATAAAAAATAAAATGGATGACACGACAGAGACTTATGAACATCACTGTTATATTTCCATTAATATCTTTTTACTTTGTCAAGAGGTTAAGTGCCTGATAAACAAACATAAGCCATATTTGACTTTGAAGCCCCATTGGACCATACACAAATGCTGCACTGGGCATATGAAATAGTAGAGGGCTGATTAGGTTAGACACCATGACTAAACAGATTACACAGAAAGAATATCTTCAGAACAGTAAGTTTAGGATTTAGCTACATATATCCACACTGATTGTCTGAAGCTTCCTCCCATTCCCAATGCCAACAACAAAATCTCCAAATTTCATCTTTTTGCAAAGATTTAATTTTAAGTTAAGACATAATAAGAGCATAATTTCACAAGACTCAACATAAACCTTAACATCTTATGCAAAAGCAGGTCAGCTTGTTTTCGATGTGAGACCATTAAAACAATCAAATTCAATTGACCAATTGCATATGGAGTTTAGCATTTCAAATAAAATAATAAAATGCTAGCAGAGGAGATAGACGTGAACATGAAACTCGAGAACTATGTAAATTCTAAAGAGGAAATGCCAAAAGGTCATGTCCTTGTTAGAGAATAATTGATAGAATTGACAAGAGGGAAAGGAAAGGTACATTAAATAAAAGAATTTTACTTTGAACAAGCTGGGCTTCCGCAGTCAATTCAGCCATATTGCTTAACCTGTTCAATCAATTCATAAACCATAAGAACAGCATCAAATTACCTTTCATGGCAAAAATTGAAACGGAAAGAGGAAGGGGGAGAGGAGTGTAATATGAGAAAACACATGTTCAAGTAAAAAAGAGAAAATATATCTTCACCGAAAAAAGTAAAACCAAATTCCCAGTGGGAAATACTGACAGTCTCAGGCAATTCGTTTAGGCATGAATAACATAAACAACCTAAACTGCACTATGTAAACGTTACCACTCTTTACTTTGTTTCATAATGATAAATCCCTTTCGGAAAATTTTAAGGGACTTCACACACCAAACTTGATATGACAGGAATATAGAATAAGATCATAGCAAGTTAAGTGGTTAAAAAACAAAAAACAACTAAATACAAACAAAGATTTTACCAGTAAGACAAACATCACAATTCAGCTACTTCAAAATAAATATGAACATTGGTTACATTCAGCAACTGCAAGTTGGTTTAACACGATAAGGGACATGAATGACAATGTTTTTTACTTTGGTAGAAGTTAATGGTGTAATGACGTTGGACTAGACCTCGTAAGATGGGTAATTTTCACTTACTATAGACCCCCTTTACAGAATGGCGAAGGAAGAAACTGTGGGCATTTGAAGCTTAGAGATATCAGCATGTTCAAAAGGAAGGGACTTCAACAGGGGCACCAAACTAAAGTGCAATTATAGCATTCAAGATATCAAGTTTACATCACACTAATCAAGTGAACAACCACTTCAACAAAGTAAGATGATGTAATTTCCAGCAGATAGCACATGAAAATCCCAGCAGGCTACAGAATTCCAGCAGAAAGATACAGCAAATTAAGCAGAAAAAAACATAAAATTCAATTTTTTCGAGCATAGTAAATTTTACTACTACTATTTATTAAGCCCAATACCAAGATCAGAGCTTTATCGATATTACAAGCCATAAAAATCATAGCAATGCAAATGTTGGCTAAGTTTTACCAGTACAGAATGCAAATGGTAATAAAATTCTTTTATTTTACCAAAAAAGAAAAAGAAGTCATACCAATGCAGGAAAAGTCGAACAGAAACCCTAAGACTTATTTGAAAGCGATTAAAAAAAGGGATTGAAGCCGAAAAGCTGAAAAAACAAAACCAATGGAGCAAAAGAGCAAATTCATTCTAGAAATCCTTACGCGATAAGCTTGAGAAGGAAAAGAAACCTCGAAGCAGTCGTGTACGGGAGGAGGAAGAAGGGGAAAGCTTTAGAACTCACCCGATTTTTTTTATATATATCGACGGGTCTGTCGAACCGAACCGGAATCCAGTAACAAACCGCTTTGTATCATACCAACACATTCAACAGTCCACAGATATTATTTTGTCCCGCACGGGGTGAAAAACCTTAGGAATTTTTACATTCCTATACCATATAGGAAACCTTATTACCCTCAATGTTTAAGGTTTGATATAATTACATTTAGTATACCAAATTACCAAATTTATACCATAGTGTATTTTAAGAGTACAACTAATGCAGCATATATCCCTCCTTAATTCAAGGCACCAAAAATGGGCCGTTTTTTTTTTGTTCTGTATCTTTTAGCAGCTTCTCTCCTTCGTTTACATTAAACATATTCCTGAATATATTCCTTCTCCCTCCTTCTTTCACTATTTTCAACTCCCCTTCACCGTTTCTGAAAACTTTGGCCCCAATTTCACTGCAAAACATCAAAATAGGAAAATACTTTTATTATTTTCTTAAAGAAGGAAAAAGGAAAAGAATGAACTAGATGTAAATAGACGCATACCATGCTCACGAATTCTATAAGCATAACTTTTTGCCTTCTTTCCCAATTTCCTCTTCTGCATAATTATAGCAGAATCATCTTGACCTGCAATTAATATCAATGTATAAAAGAGTTAGGAAAAATGAGTTTTGTTTAATTTTCCTGTTTTTCATAAATATTCTGGACATACTTGGTTTTCACTGAAAAGAAGATAGAAGAAGAAGAAGAAGAAGAAGAAGAAGAAGACATATTGCAGAAATTGTAGATAAATTGTAGAACAATTGTAGATAAATTGTAGATAAATTGTAGACTGTTTTTTGCAGAAGATTTTGTAGAAGTTTTAGTCGTTTTGGATTTGTGAACAGAAAACAATGCATCTACAATCAGAATACAGATAATCTACAATTTATCTACAAAATATCTACAAACTGGATACATTAAATTTTAATATCCCAATTCCCATTTCAATTGTAGATAATTTGTAGATATAGTGTAAATTTTGTAGTCATCCATTTTAGGATGTCAGACATTTTGAAATCAACAATTTCTAATCATAGATTGTACTTTTGTCGTATAAATGTAGTAACTTTGTAGATAATTTTGAAAACAACATTGCTTTATTCTTTCATTAAACTGATTTGTAGTTTAATTGTAGGCAAATGTAGTAATTTTATAGATAATACCGTAAAACCATAATTTATGTAATTTCGAACTATACAAACCTGCACTTGTGTTATCGTTGGTGATTGCCAATTCCATATTGAATCTCGTACATTTATACATAACGAATATAAACCTAAGTTTTTATTCTCCTTTTTGGTCTCCATATACACACGAACCCCCATATCATTCTAAATTTATTCGTTTTTTTGGATTTCTAGATTGAGAGAAAAAAAGATGAAGAACAGATATATGATCGCCAATTTGATTTCTGAAAACGACGAAGAACAGAATATAGCAATTTTGAGTTGCTGAATCTCGAAGATTTGAATTCTACAATTTGAATTCAGTTTGTTGAAGTTGTTCGTAGTTGAATCTGTTCGTACTTTTTGAAGTTGTTCGTACTTTTTTTTTAATTTTTGAATTGTAGTTTAAGAGAAAAATACGCAGATGAGAAATCTCCTTGCCGTTTTAAAAATTGAATTTAATGTAGAATTAATCAATCCCAAGATTCTTTCCTGATTTTTAGCGCGTTTTTAAGGGAATATTCTGCCCTTTTAATACCTAATAAACGAATGATACAAAAATTGTAGGAGAAATGTGGACTAGGCAGGTAATTTAAATACTATGCACATATTTGATAATAAAGTTTCATATATGGTATAGGAAAGAAAAAATCCCAAAACCCTAAGCAGGGGTCCAGCCCAGTAGTAGTAATCAAAGCCCATATTAACTTGCCAAGGCCTGATGGCCTTTGTGTTGACGATACTTAACATCCCAGAAATCTTAGAAAGGGGAAAAGACCACATCAAAAAGATGTAGATCTTTAAATTAAATTAAAGACTAATAAGAAATACAAATTCTGAATCTAGCAAGTTGTGCACATCATGACAATCTTTGATGTTTTGCCTTTTAAAAAACTCAAATCAAGAAATAAAAAAACATCAGAAAATAATTTGGAACCTAACTCTTATCTCATCCACTATAGTACGTATATCTTTGTCAATTAGTTAATGGACACATTAGTAATTAGAGAATCTCTCCAGTTGGTCGGGTGTTTCACTATTGTTTTTTCTTGCACCTATATATTGATAATAATGATTTCAATGGCTAATGCATAAATTATTCCGTATCTATCCCCAAAATCTTTGCCGATTAGATTTCTCTGATCACATTAATGAATAATGATTAATTGATTATATTCTAGCTAGTTTGTACTCTAGGAGTCCATTTATTTTAGTTGATTGAACACAACTTGGTCATGTATCTTTGACTCTAATCAGAATTAGAAATTGTTTATTCATGTCTAATCTCTTCAATGTGCAAGCACGCACGATTTTATTTATTTATTTTGCTTATATTCGCCGGATTGACTCTATATTTTTTAAAACTACGATATTTTAATGGTTCAAATTAATAGTAATCTGTTATGAAATACTTGATTATGGTAGATGTTCATAACTCCTAAGGGAGTAACACCCATTACTATTCTGCATTAACCTCTCACTACTTCTTACCATTATAGATGTAACTCCCACACCTCCATGATCTTCCACCATGTTCTCAATAGTTAATACCATGTTCATGACATCCCTCTGTACTACCTATATCATCCTATAAATAGAGGATTTGGGCATCACATTGTACACACTTGAATAAATTGAGGAAATAAGAATCTCTCCTCCCTTTCTCTCTACATTCTTGTCTATTTACTTATTTTATATTATTACTTTGAGCTAACTTTCTTAACACGTTATTAGCACGAATTGTGTATTTCATGATCTTCTATTTCAAGATTATATGGTAGGTGTTCTTTAGGTTCCATGGCTTTGGCCATACCATTTTGGCGGCAAGGTAACTTTATTTTAATTTTTCTTCATAATAGTAAGGGTTTATATCAGAGTTAGTCAATCTTTTCGGTCCAGTAAGGTTTACTTCTAAATTCTTATGTCTGAGTTTACACTTATGCAAATATGACAACATCATAATCAAACCAACTCCTTAATATGCATATATGTTGACACGTAACTTCAAATTTTATTTATGCTTACATGTATAGAATAAGAAAAAAATTCCTAACACTTGTGTTCCACATATATCTGATTAGAACACTACCGTATTCTTATATAAAAAGTAGCTTTAATGTTTAGTAAAACTTATTTTCACTGTTTTAATGATTCATCCATTGAAATTGTCATGACCCTAAAACGGACCCGGTCGTGATGGCGCCTATTGTGAAACTAGGCCAACCGACACAAACCCCAAGCCAACCAGAAATTCATAATAAGTCATTTAAAGTCATTAATTAGCTAAAAATTCCATAATATAAGTCAAAATAGATAATGCAGAAACATAACACAGCCTGGTATCGGGGTGTCACCAGTCATGAGCAACTACAACTCGTCTCGGAATAAGAAAGGACAACATAGTCTGAAAACAAATGCTAATACAAAGCTGAATAAGATAGGAAGGAGAAGCACTGGGCTGCTAACGCCAAGCAGCTACCTAGTCAACTCCGGAGACCCGCTGGAAGGCTAATCAGCACTCGCTATCGCGACCCGAGACTCCTGGATCTGCACACAAGGTGCAGGGAGTAATGTGAGTACGCCAACTCAGTAAGTAATAAAAGTAAAGGCAGCTGAGCAGTAAGAAAACACGTAAACCACGTCATAACGCTACAGCAAATAGTATAAGTCCAGAACAATGCAGTAAAGCAATAAAACTCGTAAAAAGACAACTCAGTTCAGTAAAACCTTTTAAAACATCTTTCAATAGTCCAAAAGAGTGATGAAAACAATGAGTAAAAGGATAGAAACATAAATAACCCCTTAGGCAAAACAAGTACCATAAATCTCCCCTCGGGCATAATATCAACAGAACCAGCCCCTCGGGCTACCTCACAATCACTCGTATCAGCCCCTCGGGCAACAATCATGAAACAACAACAGCCCCTCGGGCAATATCACATCACACACACTGGGTACCCGCGCTCACTGGGGGTGTACAGACTCTGGAGGGGCTCCTACAGCCCAAGCGCTATCACAAGCCATCTCGTGGCATAATAAATCAGGCCCTCAGCCTCTTATATATCACAATTAGTACAACTTGCTGTGGCGCGCAGTCCGATCCCATGATATCCTCATAACATAGGCCCTCGGCCTCACTCAGTCAGAACTCATTCAAGCCCCTCGGGCTAACAGTAAAACAGATACTCGGCTCAAAATATCATTTATAAAATCAAAAGGAGTAAATAAAATCCGAGTTATGAAATCAGTGAAAGCATAACATGACTGAGTGTAAATGTTATCAAAACAGTGAGGAAACAGTAGTAAAAAGCCCATAAGGGTCCAAAAAGTCGGCACAAGGCCCCAAACACGGCATTTAGCCCCAAACATAGTAATACTTTCCAAAATATAATAATATCAAACAGTTTCCATTTAAATACGCGACACAATAGTCGTACGGGATGGACCAAGTCACAATCCCCAACGGTGTACGACCCCACGCTCGTCATCTAGCGTGTGAGTCACCTCAAAATAGCGCAACGATGTGAAATCCGGGGTTTCAAACCCTCAGGACAACATTTACAATCATTACTTACCTCAATCCGGTCCAAACTCTAGCCCGCGATGCCTTTGTCTCTCGAATCAGCCTCAACTCGCCCCGAATCTATCAAAAATCAGAATCATAACATCAAAATAGGCTAAAGGAATAAAACCCACGCGAAAATAACCAAATTTACTCAAAAATCCTGAAATTGGCCAAACCCGACCCCCGATCCCACGTCTCGGATCCCGATAAAAATCACAAAACTAGAATCCTTATACTCTCACGAGTTCATACA